GCGGGCAGTGCCCACGCTGACCACGCTGTGCCTGCAGAGCCTGGCCCAGCACATGCAGAGCCTCTGGGCCAAGGACTACAGTGACAACTACCTGGACGAGTACGAGTTCCGCTTCCTCGTGGGCCCCTTCAACGATCTGGGTGAGGTGTGGGGGCTGTGCCACRGCACCGGGACCCCCGTGTGGGGTGAGTGGGGGTCCCAGGCCTTGCTGAACCCGTTTTCTCCCCAGCCTGCGGGCTGGTGCAGGAGCTGCTGCGGCTGCTGGGGACGAGCCGGCGGCTGTCGCGCGCAGCGCTGCATCTGCTGCTGCTGCCACACCTGCGCCAGCTCAGCCTGCGCTCGTGCCCCGCGCTCGCCAACAATGCCCTGGGCAACCTCATCGTCCTGCGCTGCCAGGTGGGCAGGGGGCTGTGGGGCTGTGGGGCTGGGGAGTGAGGTTGGGAGTGACATCTGTGGGGCTGGGAGTACCCACTATCAGTGGGGCAGGGGGAGTGGGGCTGGGGGTGACCACCCTCCATAGGGCAGAGGTTGCCATGGTCCATGGGCTGGGAGATTGGGGGAGGGTGGGCCCAAACCTTTCTGAGGTGCCACCTCTGTGGGGCAGGGGGTGCCCCCCGCCCGCCCCACTGAGGGTCTCCCCGTGTGCCTGCAGGGCCTGAGTGTGCTGGACCTGGGGGGCTGTGGGCGGCTCTCGCCGTCCGTGCTGGTGGACCTGGCCGAGGGGCTGCCCCGCCTGAGCCGCCTGGGGCTGGCCCACACCCAGGCCAACGTCCAGGTGCTCTCGGCCGTGGGCTCCTGCTGCCGCCACCTGCGGGAGCTCGACGTGTCCGGCTGCAAGAAGGTGACACCGCGTGCCCTGCGCCACCTGGGCTACGACCCCCTGGCACGGACCCCCTGCTGCCCCGCACTCCGTGTCCTGCTGGCCCGCAATCTGGAGCACACCGGGGACAGGGACATGGTGGCCGCTGTGGCCTTTCTGCTGCTGGCCCTGCCGTGCCTGGAGGTGCTGGCACACGGTGCCGTGCCGGACGCGCTCCATCTGCTCCATACTCAGCAGCTGGATGGCACCGAGGACTCAGAGGGCTTCCCCTCGCTTGAGGAGCTGGCACAGAGCCAGGGAGCCACACCAGAGGGACTCCCGCTCAAGCTGCCCCTGCGGCAGCTGGAGGAGGTGGAGGAGGATGCCCTGGGCACCGTGCACGCCGTGTGTCCCAAGGCTGAGGAGGTCAGCGTGTGGCTGGGGGACAGCCCTGGCCCCGCAGGGCTCCGGGAGCTGCTGGGCTGGAAGCGCCTGTCCCGGGTGACGCTGGGCTGCACCGGGCGGCACGGCCGGGCACTGGCAGAGGTGCTGCCGCTGGCAGAGGGCCTGGGCACCCGCCTGCACACCCTGACCCTGCACGGCTTCAGCTGCCGGGACCCGCTCTCGCTGCCCTCRCTGCTCTCCAACTGCCCCGGCCTGCAGAGCTTCAGCGCCGAGCTGGAAGTGCCGCCGGACCCCCGTGCCCGCGACGAACCCCCAGAGGAGTCCCCTGCCTCACCGCCACGCTGGGCCACCGACCTGCTGCCCCGCGGGCTGCCCCAGCTGCAGAGCTTCTCGCTGACCCTGGCCGGGTCTGTGCCGGCCGCGCACAGGCCGGTGCTGAGCTCCACGCTGGCCTCGCTGCTTTGCGGGGCCCCGCAGCTCCAGACCCTGCGCCTGCTGGCCGTGCCCTTCTCGCTGGACTCGGTGCTGGAGCCGGCGCTGGCGGGGCCGGCGCTGCGGGAGCTGCGGGAGCTGTCGCTGGCCGAGAGCTGCGTGTCCGCCGGAGCCGTGTGGCAGCTGCTGAGCTCCGAGGGGCCCCTGCGGCGCCTGGACCTGTCCCGCTGCCCCGACATCCACCGGCGCGACTACGAYGGCTTCCTGCAGGCCGTGAAGAAGCAGCGGCTGGACCTGGATATCACCTGGGAGTAGCGGCGCGTGTGGCGCCGAGGGCTTTAATAAAAGTGTGACGGTCACATCAGGCTGGCACTGCGTCATCCCCGAGTGGCACAGGGTGGGTACAGGGGGAGCAGAGCAGTATCCGTGTCCCCTTCCCGCCCTGCTGAGGGGTGACATCGTGGTGGCTCAGTCCTGCTTGGTGAGTCCYGTCAGCCTCTCCGATGCCTCCCAGAGCTTCCGTGCCAGCGCGGTGTCACGCGCGGCCTCCGAGGGCAGCGACAGCCGGCAGTTGCTGTCGAAATATTTCCCGGAGATGCCCTCAGCCTCCTCCGAGACAGCGCAGAAGATGGTGCTGGCAGCGCCCTGCTCGGCTGACTGTGGGGGATGGAGGGTGAGAGGGGTTCTGTCAGCACCCACCTGCCCCACTGCCCCCAGGACGGGCAGGACCCGGCCCCGCTCACCTTCATGAAGGGCCGGAAGAGGCTGAAGACTGCTCGCACGGTGTAGCTGAAGTGGCGCATGATGCCGGTGTTCACCACGCCGGGACTGATCGCGTTGACTGTCACCCCTGCCAGGCCGCACCGTCAGCAGGGTGGGGACACTGGGGACCCCCGATCCCTCTGGAAGCAGCAGGAGCAGCCCCCAGCCTGACCTCAGAGCGGGGCTCTGCCACCCACAGGGGATCCCAGGGAGTCTCTAACCCTTGTCAGACCCCTCAGCCCTGCCGAGCTGTGGCACAGGAGCACAGGGTGTTGGCACAGGGGATGTCCCCATGGTGTCACATGGCACGGCCAAGCCCAGCAGTGCCTAGCACCCACCTGTGCCCTGCAGGCGCTGTGCCAGCTCGGTGGTGAAGAGCAGGTTCATCAGCTTCGTGCTGCGGTAGGCAGCATCGTACCCACCCGGCTGCCGCTGCCCCGTGAGGAACTCGCAGTCAACCGTGCCCGCTCTGTGCCGGAGCGACGACACGTTGACCACCCGGGCGGGCGCTGAGGCCTTCAGGAGGTCTGTGCAGAGCAGGGGGTGAGCAGGGAGGGCTCCCCAAAGGCTCCCAACCTCCCCCAGCCCCCACACTCACCCAGGAGCAGATTGGTGAGCAGGAACGGGCCCAGGTAGTTGGTGGTGAAGGTTTGCTCCAACCCCTCTGATGTGATGGTGAAGGGCAGCCCTGGAAAAGGGAGATGTTGGGCACTGTGGGACATCAGAACAGGATGCTGCACCCACCTTGGGGGCTGTGGGGCTGGCACGTACCAGTGACACCGGCGTTGTTCACCAGCACGTCCAGCCGCGGCTCCTCGCGCAGCACGGCGCTGGCRAAGGCGCGCACCGAGGCCAGCGAGCTGGTGTCCAGCAGCCGCAGCACCACCGCCGGGTTCCCGGTGGCCGCCTGGATCTCCTCCACGGCTGCCTGGCCCCGCTCCCGGCTCCGRCACGCCAGGATGGTGCGGGCGTTCCGGCGTGCCAGGTCCATGGCCACGCACTTGCCGATGCCTGCGGAACACGGAGCAGGTGTGGGATAATCCCAGCCAGGCCCCCTTGTGGGGGATCCCTGGGGTTCTGTGCCCCTGTCCCCTGGGTTTGGGCAGCCCTTGCCACAGCCCAAACCACCCAGCAGAAAATGATGGGCGTTGGGGTGGGAGTAGATCCCAACACAAGTGGGGCCGCTCTGTCCCTGGGCATGTGGACACCCCAGTCCCAGCCTATGTCCAAACATCCCCGGCTGTGCCAGCCTGACCATGTGCTCAGCGCTAGGACACAGGTGGGAACAGTGACCCCATCCCTGGTGTGACACGGTAACAGCAGTGACAGGCAGTGCAGTGGCCTTAGCTGTCAGTTATTAACGCAGCCGAGGTGAAGCCCGGCCACCAAAGGTGGGCAGGGGACATTGGGAGCATGAAGTGGGTGCCAGGGAGCAGCCACCAGCTGCTTCTGCAGCCATTTGCATTCCCAAAGCYGGGACTGGGAGGAGGGACACCCGTGTCTCCCACAGGACACCCCACAGCCATCACACCATCACCCACACACGTGTCCCCGCCACCTGTTCCTGCTCACCGCTGTTGGCTCCGGTGACAATCACTGTCTTGCCTGTCAGGTCGGTGGGACACTTGCGGGGGTCCCAGGGGCTTCTGCGCCTGAGCCAGATCAGCAGCCCCAGGAGCAGCAGCAGCAGGAGCCACCACGGGGGGCTCAGTGTCCCCAGCAGCTCCATGGCCGGGTGCGGGATCTGGCTGGGCGTGGGGTGGCGCTGGGGACAGAGGTCAGAGCAGGACCTTTGCCCAGCTGTCAGCCCGCTGTGGCACGGGTTCCTCTGCTCCGTGAGCCGCCGGCAGCTGAGGAGGGACAGCAGAGTAACTGGAGCAGGCAGGAGGGTGAGCCACGCATCCCCTGTGCCACCTCACTGTCCCCCGCGCCACCCTGTCATTTAATGACGGTGATGGCATTTGAAGAATTGACGTTTAATGAGCTCTCTGYGCTCAAAATCTCCACAGGTGCCTCCGCACTATCGCAATGGAGCCACCTTTCAGGTCTGCCTGGCCTGGACCGAAACCGATACTGTCAAATCCGATTTTCGTTTGCGGTTTTGAGTGACGAGGGAGTAATTGCACAAGCTCARGAAGAGGGGTCACAAATAAGATGCTTGATGTTGGGGGTACTTGTCTTACAGGATCCTGTTTTGCATATCATGCTAATTATGGCCCAAAATCCATACCTACCATCTCCCCTCATACTGATGAGATTAAAATCGCACCTACTCTCAGATTTCATCCTAATTAGTGACCGAAACCATGTCCTTTGTGTTAATGAGGTTAATTGTTAATTGTAAAACTAGAACTCGGGGAGTGACCGGGAGGGGCAGAYTGTAGAACTCCTTGTGCCAACCCCATGCCCCTGTGCCCCTAAGGACCCCATCCCGCTGTGTGGGGACATCAGATGTGGGTGACCCAGGACTGGAGSCCATCCCTGAGCGAGCAGGACCTTCAGGAGGGGCTCAGTGGGCAGGGATGGYCCCAGAGAGGGACCCCAGAGCTCCCGGAGACCCAGAGGAGGCTCCGGGCAGCCTTTGCCCGCCCCATCCCGCTGGAGCAGCCCGACCCGGGGTCCCTGTCCTCCAGGACGGAGAGCTCACAGAACGAAGCCACAGCTGTCACCCCGTTGCATCCCCCTTATTCTTCATTTTGGGGCAAAGGGGCTGCGGGGAYGAGCTGCRTGTGGRWCCGGGAGCTGGTGGCACCGTGGGTWCAGCACCCGCTGCTCCGGGTCCCCGGTGGGGTGAGGAAAGCTCATTTTAGGGTTTTTTATTTACTTCTGTTTTCTTCAGCGGCGCCGGCAAAGAGCCCCGAGCTCCGGGAGTATGGCGTGGTGCCTTACCCGGTGCCAGCCCCGGTGGAGGTGGGACACGGGGTCCCGAGGAGCCCTCAAGGGCTGAGAGTCCCCCCGGAGCTGCGACACTCCCTGGGAGGAGCAGCTCCCGGAGCTGACCTCATTCCCAGCGGCTTTTACAGATGCTTGTCTCTCTCATTCGTCGTCTCCGATCCGGCACTCCGGGTAGCGGAGGATGGGTTTCAGCTCCCTCTCAGCCTTCTTCACCGCCTCGTCCTCCTGCTCCCCGATCGGTCCGCCTCTCCCGCGCCTCTCGCTGCCRCCCCAGCGCACGGTGACACCGGGCGCAAGCACAGCCGAAGCCAGCCAGGGGTCACACAGCTGCGGCTGGCCCCTGGTGGTCCGTGCGGCTACCGGGAAGACCTGCTGGGGCCGCARCGTGGGTTGCCAGCACCTCGACACCGCCAGGTCGGAGCCCCGGCCGCGCCAGTAGGAACGCGCCCACTCGGGGTCGGTGGTCACATTCACCACCTTCACCTCGGGGGTGACCCAGCGAGCGGCATCGCGGCGGGCACCCAGCCTGGGGACACCCGAGATGGGCACAGCCACGCCGCGGGAGGGTCTGCGAGTCTGCACCGATGCCGGGCTGCGGCGAGAGAAGGGCGACGTTTGGGCRCCGATCTCCGTCCTGGCCCCGCGGGACAACGATGGTGCCGGCGTTGGGGGCTCCGGGGGTTTGGCCGAGGGYGGAGCCGGGGGCTCGGGCGGGGCTGGCCGGGGTCGTGTGGTCCGGGCGACGCGGGATCCCCTTCTGGGGGGCCGGGAAGTGACGGGAGGCTCCGGTCCGGATCGTTGCGTGAGCAGGACGGCGACAGCACCGGGGACCGGAACGGGGGGAGCTCTGGCTGCTGCAGAGGGGGCCTGCCCGGATGGCGAAGGGGAGCCGATGTCGGGGTGCCACATGGGGTGACCCGGTGTCCCATGGCCCCCGAGGTGCTGGGGTTCAGCCCGGGGGGTCTCGGGTAAGGGTGATCGGGTCGCGTCTCACCTGGCCCGGGGGCACAGGAGCAGCGTCGGGGACCCTTCTGGGACACACGTGGGGAGCTCCAGGCTCGGCTGTCACGGGGATGTCCTCGGAMGGGACCTGCCCGGGGGACAAAGGGGACTCGGTGTAGGTGACACGGCGTGTGCCAGGGCCCGGGGAGGGCTCGGGGAGCGGCTCACCTGTTCCGAGGGCAGGGACACATCCAGGACAGTGACAGCTCCCTGCGTCCAGGAGTCCCAGGGGCACGTTTGGGGCTCCTCGTCCTCCTTCCAGATTCCGTCTCTCTCAGGATCCGTGTCCCCCCAGGAAAGCGGGTCCCCCCCGGGGTCCGGGTCCCCCTCGTCCCGCACCAGGAACCGCCACTCGGCGACAAAAAGGATGGCGTCCCGCGCCCGCGACACCGTGAAGGGCACCAGCTGCAAGACAGCGCTGAGATCCCTGCCCAGAACTCCCAGGCCCCGCCAGACCTCCCCAAATCATGGGGGAGGAGGTGGGGAGGGGTCTCTCACCTGCCGTGCCACCGCCCTCATAAGGGACTCGGTCATCACCCGGTCCAGGAGCTCCTCCAGGATGGGCCTGGCGTCCAAGGGCTCCTTGTGCCTGCGTCCATGCCCATGCTCTCCCGGATGCCCGAGGGCAGGGGCGGAGTGGGGAGGGGTCCGGCCGGGACTTTTGGGGGAGTGAGGCTTGGGGGASGGATGCTTCGATTCCTTCGGCTGGGCTTGGACGGGCGTTCGCGGTTTGTCCTGTCGCGACTTGGTGGCGGCGCCGCCGCGGGATTTGGATTTCTGCGCGGGGACAGAGACCCCCACAGCTCCCACCGCCCGGGCGGGACCGGTCCAGTGCGCCCCAGTATAGACCAGTACAGCCCCACACATCCCAGCGTGACCAACTCAATACATCCCAGCCCACCCCGGCATGGCGCCCCAGCTCACTCCAGTGTACCCCAGTATATCCCAGTACACCCCACATCCCCCAGCTCCTCCCAGCCCCCCACCGGAGCCCTTTTGCCCGCCCCCGGTTCCCCCAGTCCCGCCCAGTTCCCCCAGCCCCACCTCGGCCATCCCGCCCCTGTGGCGTCCCGGTTTCCACGGCGACGTGACGTCATCACCGCGCGCCGCCCGCASTGCGTCATCACGCCGCGACGCGTCTCCATGGCGGCGGCGAGCACCGGGTGAGCGGGGAGGGGGAAAGGGGAAACTGAGGGGAACCGGGGCAGAATTGGGGTCGGGGAGAGTGGGACGGGCAGGACAGGGGGTTCGGGAAGCGGCTGGGGAGGGCGGGGGGGCTGAGAGATGGGGATGGGGAGGGGTCGCTGGGAGAAAACCTTGGGCAGGGGGGCAGGGGGGCCCAGGGAGGGAATGGGGGTGGATCTGCCCCGAGTCCCCTGGAGCTCTCCAGATCCCCTTAGAACTGCCCCCGGCTCCCTGGATCTACCCCTCCCCATCTGGATCCATCCCTGGACCCACATCAGCCCCCCCGGATCCGCTCCAGCCCCCCCATAACCCACCCCAACCCCCTGGATCTGCCCCCACTCCCTCTCCGGCCCCACCGCAGTGTTTAACCCCCCTCAGGCCGTACCGCCGGGAGCGGACCCTGGCCCTGCGGAGCAGCAGCTCGGCTCTGTACAACAACCTGGCCGTGCTGTGCCCTCCTGCCCGGCCCCTGGCCTTCGGYGCCGTGCACGGCACCACCCTCAACCTGCTGGGCAACGAGGGTCCCCCCCGGCAGCTGCAGGCCCGCGGAGGGGGCTCGGCGCTCAGCACCCCGCTGCTCACACAGGTGAGGCACAGGAAAAGCCCTGTCTGATCCCTCCCGGCACCGGGCAGGGGGTGGGACACGGCCCTGGCACCTCCCTGGCACGGGGAGGGGCCGTGTCACAGCTCTGTCACCCTCGTGTCGTTGGAATGGGGTTTGGGGACTTCTGATCCAGGAGGAGGATGAGAGGGGGGGTCCTGTCCCAGCAGGAGGGTTTGGAGGGCTCCAGGAGGAGGATTTGGGGAAATCCAAGAGAAGGGTTTGGGGAAATCCAGGAGCTGTCTCTTGGGATATCCAGGATTTGGGGAGGCTCCTGGAGGAGGGTTTGGGAGACTTGAGGAGAGGGTTTGGGGGGCTCCAGGAGGAGGGTTTGGAGAAATCCAAGAGGAGGGTTTGGGGAAATCCAGGAGAGGGATTTGGGGATATCCAGGAGGGGGATTTGGGGATATCCAGGAGGGGGATTTGGGGAGGCTCCTGAAGAAGGATTTGGGACACTTGTGGAGAGGGTTTGGGGGGCTCCAGGAGGAGGGTTTGGGGAGGCTCTRGGATCCAGCAGGAAGGTTTGGGGTCCTGTCCCAGGAGGGGGCTGTGGGATTCTGCCTGTGCCCCCCAATCCCACCCCGCTCCATCCCTCCCAGGCCGCGTGGTGCGAGCTCCCATCCCGGGTGCTGCTGGTGCTCACGTCCCAGCGCGGTGTCCAGGTGAGGTCTGGGGGGTCCAGAGGGGTCCTGGGGGTCCTGCTGCCCCCCTGCCACCACTCAGAGTGTCCCACTTTGTCCCTCCATCCCAGATGTACGAGTCTGACGGCTCCACCATGGTGTTCTGGCACGCGCTGAATATCCCGGAGCACCCGGCAGGTGAATCCCTGTGGAGAGTCCTGAATGCCCCCAGCACGGCCCAGGCAGATAAATCCCCCTGAGGATGGGGATTCCTCCACTTCCAGTCCTTCCCAGGAGGAATTTTCCCCAATATCTGACCAGAACCTCCCCTGGCCCAGCCTGAGGCCGTTCCCTCTCCTCCTGTCCCTGTTCCCTGGAGCAGATCCCAAATCCCCCTGGCTGTCCCCTCCTGTCAGGGAGTTGTGCAGAGCCACAAGGTCTCCCCTGATCCCCTTTTCTCCAGGCTGAGCCCCTTTCCCAGCTCCCTCAGCCACTCCTGGTTCTCCAGACCCTTCCCAGCTCCTTCCCTGGACACTCTCCAGCCCCTCAGTGTCTCATTGTGACAGGCCCAAACCTGTGCCAGGATGGGGGTGTGACCCCACTGCTGTCACCGGGCTTGTCCCTGCCCGTGGGTGACACAAACCTGTTCCCTTCCAGCACATTCCGTGTTTGCCCGAGGCATCGCCGCAGCCAGCGGCCGCTTCATCTGCGTGGGTGAGCCGGGYCCAGGGCGTGGGGAGGGCGGTGGCCCTGGGGTGACCAAGCCCTGCTGACCTTCTGACCCCACAGGGACATCGTCTGGGGCCGTGCTGGTGTTTGACATCCCCCCAAAAGGGACCAACGTGACGCTGAGCGAGGTCCTGGAGCAGCACMGGGATCCCATCACCGACATCGCGGCCGAGCAGGGCCAGGCCCCGGTATGGGGGTGGGTGGGTTGGGATCACCSTAAATCCCATGGGCAGGGGCACCTTCCACTCTCCCAGGGTGCTCCAAGCCCCATCCAGCCTGGCCCTGGACACTTCCAGGGATCCAGGGGCAGCTGCAGCTTCTCTGGGCAAACTGTGCCAGGGCCTCCCCAGCCTCACAGGGAAGGATTTCTTCCCCAAATCCCACACAAATCTCCCCTTCTCCAGTGGGAAGCCATTCCCCCTTGTCCTGTCACTCCATGCCTTGTCCCAAGTTCCTCCCAGCTCTCCTGGAAGCCCTTTAGGCACTGGRAGCTCACAGGGCAGGTCCCTGCAGACTCACCAGCCATTTCCTCCCACTCAGCACTTTCCCCGATGAGTCACTGAACTTTCCTTGCTCYGGCATCCCCAAGGAATTCATCCCCCAGAACCCGTTCCCGAGAGCTGCCGTGTCACCGTGGGAACACGGAGCTGTTATGTCACCTCCCACTGCCACCGCTGTCACCGTCCCCTCACACACCCCCCTGGACTTTGCTCCATGAGCACCGAGGGTTCCCAGGGCTGTGCTGGGAGATTCCCAGGGCCGGGAGGGGCCGGGAATCCTCAAGGAGGGAGGGGTGCCCTGCTTCTTCCTCGAAATCCACCCTCGGCGTGGCGTGGCAGCGTCGGCAAACACAGACGTGTTCCGACGGAGCCGCCCGCGGGCGCTCCCGGCCCCGCAAAGACCGRGATCCGTCAGCATTTTGGGACCTGTGTCAGCTTGTCCTGGTGCCCATGGGCCCGGCGGGCAGTGCCAGTGTCCATCCCAAGCTGGGGACAGTGCCCCATGCCCCCCTGAGCCATCTCTCCCCACAGGAAGGCGCCGGGGACCTGGTGACAGCCGATGACTCTGGGACCCTGTGCCTGTGGAGCAGCGGGGAGGARTTCACCCTGCTCGGGAAGATCCCGGGATCTGGGTGAGCCCCGGGGATCCCGCAGGGTGTGGGACACGRGGGAGGGACACCCTAGAGGTGGTGACACGTGCCCTTATCTCCAGCTCCACCTGCTCCTCGGTGACCCTGTGGAACGGGATCGTGGCCGCGGGCTACGGGAACGGGCAGATCCGACTGTGGGAAGCGGCATTGGGGCGGATCCGTGCCCAGGTCAGCGCCCACGCCCGCTGGATCTACGCGCTCGACCTGGCACCGCTCACCGGCAAGGTATGGAGGGGACAGGGAGTCTCACCTGGTGTCACACCTGGAGTCACAGCCAGTGTCCCACGCTGACATCCTGCCCAATATCCCAACTGACATCCTGCCCAATATCCCAAACCTGCATCCCACGGAATCCCACCCCATTATTCCAGCCTGAAATCCCACCTGGAATCCCACCTGAAATCCCACCCCATTATTCCACCCTGAAATCCCACCTGGAATCCCCACCCGTTTATTCCAGCCTGAAATCCCACCTGGAATCCCACCCCATTATTTCAGCCGGAAATTCCACTTGGAATCCCACCTCATTATTCCAGCCTGAAATCCCACCTGGAATCCCACCCCATTATTCCAGCCTGAAATCCCACCTGGTATCCCACCCCATTATTCCACTGTGAAATCCCACCTGGAATCCCACCCCATTATTCCACTCTGAAATCCCACCTGGAATCCTCACCCCATTATTCCAGCCTGGAATCCCACTTGGAATCCCCACCCCATTATTCCACCCTGAAATCCCACCTGGAATCCCACCCCATTATTCCGCTCTGAAATCCCACCTGGAATCCCACCCCATTATTCCACTCTGAAATCCCACCTGGAGTCCCACCCCATTATTCCAGCCTGGAATCCCACCCCAATATCACCCTGCCCCATGGCACTGCCACCTCCGCGGTGTCCCCACGGTCCCTCTGTTCCCCTCGCAGCTCCTGTCGGGCGCAGAGGATTCCTTTGTCCACGTCTGGAAGCTCAGCAGGAACCCGGACACGGATGACATCGAGGTGAGTCCAGGCCTGGCACACAGACAGAGCACTTGGAGCCCTGGCTGCTCCATGGGGCTTGGGGACATGGGACAGGGATGTGGCACTCTCTTGGCATTCCGTGTGGMTCCACTCCCGCCACAGATCCGGCACTGCCACGCCGAGTGCGTGACGGACACGCAGGTTTGTGGTGCCCGCTTCTGTGACCCYGCTGGGGACACCTTCGCTGTCACCGGCTACGACCTGAGCGAGATCCTCTGCTACGGCCCAGCCTGAGCCGGGAGCGCTGGAAATTTCAGCAACACCGGGAATTCCGGGAATGTTGGAAACACCGGAATGCTCCGGCAGTGCAACCGTGGGCGAGGGGTGAGCGCAGACCCCCCTCCGGCTCCGTGGGGATGCAGCTGCTCCGGCTCCACCACCCCGAGGGGATCCCCGGGATCCTCCCGTGGYCTCCCACCCTTCCCGGAGGGTGGCGTGGCTGAGAACAGAGCCGGCTCAGACGGGAGGATCCCGGGAAACCTGTGCTACCTGCTGCTCCGGCCGGGAGAGCCCCGGCGTCCCTGGGTGCAGCACCCGCTGGCCACGGGAGCCAGGGAGGGGAAAAAACGGGGAGGGAGGCTGAGGTGGGGGCTCCTGCATCCCAAACCCCCACAGGACCCCAAATCCCCATGGGATGCTGCAGTCCCGTGGCCMCTGGCCAGATGTTTGGGGCCCCAGCTGTGCTCCGGGGCTGGAAACAGCAGCAGCAGCTGCAGCAGAACCCCAGGGACATCCCCAGGTCCCCTCCAGCCCCCCCGGCTGACCCTGACCCCCCGAACCCCCCCGTGGGAGCTGAGGTGACCCCAGGCTCCGCTCCCAGGGCCCTGCGAGGCTGCAGGGGGAGCATGGGGGG